TCCATGATTTAGGCATAGAATATTTCCAAAAACATGATTTAGATAATTGGTTGCATATAGGATGGATAAAATCACAATACCATCAATAATGATTGTAAATAGTCTAAATGTCACATAATATATTACAGATAATGGATAACAAATCCAGGTCATATATGTAAGTAGCCTTATCTGGAAGTGATATAGAGTGGATTAATTCTATATGCGTTGAGCGCTTCCTCAGGAGATGGAGGAGTTCCTATGGAGATCTGATGCAAACAACCAGAACGAAGCAGTCCACGGCCTGAAGTAGATGAGAGCCAAAAACCGCAAAAGTCCAGATGGAATGGGATAAAGCAAGAGCCCTTGATCGGTAAACCAATCTCCCGAGAACGCGGCTGGGGACGGCCTCGCAGACACTGGCGGCTCTTCCAGGGAAGGTGTTTGGGCTAGTTGCCATTTTTTTCCTCTTTAGTCCCCCCTGGTTTTTGGATTCGATTGGCCAGGTTTAGAGAGATTGGGTTGTCGATTAAGGGCTCTTGCTTTATTCGGGGGGGAGGGTTGGTAACTGGATGGAGTTGGACAATGCCATGGAAGTGCCATACATTAATCAGGGAGAGCCAGAAGTCTTTCCACAGAAAGATCAAAAGTCCATGTATCCCATCGCACTCCTGACTGGAAAAATGCCCATGCAGCAGCAACAACGGATGCTTCCGTCAAAACATACAAAAAAATAATAGTCACCGGCACTCCAAATATTCAAGTCAATAAGTTTATTGACCCAAGGGAAAACACCTCTAGCGAGTTGTTTTCCCTTGGGTCAAACTTATTGACTTGAATATTTGGAGTGCTGGTGACTTAATTTTTTTGTCCGTTGCCCATTATCTGGCAATCAAACAACCAGAAAAACAAATCAAGGTCCTAATGTCCAATATTTTTTCCAGTTGCTTGATAGACAAGTGCACACTAAAAAAAAGTTTAAGCAACTAAATTTATTTAGTTGCTAATGAATTTCTCGGTTTACATCTTGCTGCGGCTGACAGCTAGATTCAGCAGCTGGCAGGTGAATGTAAAAAACGGGCAGTGGGTGTGTGCAGTAGTCAGCCTACTGTTTACTATGGCAATTTGAAATGGCCAATAACAGAATCTAGCCGGAAGATGAATGGTGTTGGGGTTGTTGCTTAAGAGTTAATAGGAACTCTCGAGCAACCATGAACAGTTATCTGGCATCTACCAATCAGGGACCGGATAACTGGGAGTTTAATGTATATCTGGCATTGGGTAAAACTTCATGTTCAATGCTTGTTCAGCATGTACATCCTAGGCGTTACAATTGGCAGATTAGGAGTGTCTCTCATCCAGGAATGTCTCTACCTTGGGGGCTGGTCTCTTCACTGAGGTGTTCAGGACCTCTTGGAGTCTGGACAGGTTTGCTAATGGGTACAGGGAACCTCTTTTAGAAATAGTGGATGCTTTAGTTACTCCGTGATTATCAGTATACCCAGATCTATGCCTTTTCTCCCCTAAACCACTGCCTCATCTGCTCCAAAGGATTGAGATGGCAGGCATTCTGATTGATTGATTCACAGTGCTCCACACTGCTAACAAACTGAAGCATGCTGGTAGTGGGAAGGGTATCCTGGCCTACAGTTGCTATTATAATACAGGATTTATATAGCGCCAACAGTTTGCGCAGCGCTTTACAATATAAAGAAAACATTACAATTAAAGACAAGATGGTAAGGAGGGCCCACAATCAGTTTTTTTTTTTTTTTGCCAGTGTCTAATCCTCCTGTAGGCAGCAGTATAACCTTAAGGTTTGACCTCCAGTGTCCCTTAATGGACACCAAGAAAAGGATTTTAAAGAATACAATAATTCTATTTGAATTCCTTCTAACTCACAACCTTACGCTGCCCTTGCCACCACTGTTATGGGCCACACACTTTCAAACTTCACTACACAACACTAGAGCCAGTGTAGCATCATAATGCTGGCAATGAAGAGCGGTTATTGGTACACATGGTCACATGACTGCTGATCAGTGAGAATCTGTTTTTGGTCTACATGGCTGCACTGATCAATGACCGCTTGCTATTGCCAGAATTTTGATGCTATACAGTCTAAACCAGTGGTCTCAAAGTACCGACCCACGGTGAGCTGACAAGCCAGGTACGTGGTCATGGACTTCATACCTGACTCGTGGGATCAGCTACACGGTCTGCATATCTGTCGGATGCAAACCGCAGACCTGCTCCCGTCACTGCTGGCACTGCGATCCTCTCAGCTGGAGCTCAGTTTTGAGCTCTGGCCAAAAGGAAGGATGGATTAGTGAGGTCTGCAGCAGACCTCACTAATCACCCACTAGAGCACCAGGGATCGATCGTGCCTCGATCGTAAGCAGGAGAGGGGGCTCTATTTTATTTTATGTGCGGGGAGGGGGTTGTATTATTTTATATGTGGGGGGTAAGTATTTGTGTATAGGAGGGGGTTGTATTATTGTGTATGGGAGTGGGCTGTGTATTATTCTTATATGTACAGGGGTAGTATTTTTTTATGTGTATAGGGGGGCCCTATTAGGCTTCATTCATACCTGCAAGTTTAGGTGCAATTAGGGATTCCTGCATCAGGAACTTGCGTCCAGGGAGAGTGATTGATTCCTAACCGAATGTAATCATATCACATACCATTACATGTGGTGTGCAGGCGTTTACATGCAGCAGCTGTCACCTGATGATTAACTTGAAAGGGTGACAGCTGTTGCTTGTAAACGCCAAATAAGGCATTCCTGCTGCAGGAAAACGCAAGTTCCTGTCGCAGGAATCCCTAATTATGCCTAATTGTGAATGGGGCCTTATTGTGTGTGTACTGGGGTCCATAGTACCAAACCGGATATAGGTAACTTTAATTTTGAAGTATGATATTGGGCAAGTGGCCCCATGGGAGAAATACATTTGTCGAGTGGCCCCCGGGTGAATTAAGTTTGGTCTACACCTTCCCTAAATTGCAGAGGAAGTGTGGAGGGGTTTTTTTTCCCCCCTCTAATCACAAAGTAAGGGAGGGGGGAGCAAACTAGACACCAATCAACTTAATAGGCCAAAAAAAATATTTACCAACATGACTACATTTTTAAAGTTTGAGATGCTGAAGACTTGCTAAGTGATGCAATTTATTAGGAATTTGGCTGCAAACACCTGTCTTCAAAGCTGTATAAAGGTACCCATACACCTGCCGATTATCGTACGACAATCGCGGGAAATCCCGCGATCGTACGATAATCGGCAGGTGTATGGAAGGTGTGCGACCGTTTGTACTGTACGGTCGCACGTCTTTTGTCTTACGAGCAGGCTCGAAAACCCGCCGAGTATCGTACGATTGTCGGCGGGTTTGTGGCCCGCTCGTAAGACAAATGCCACACGGGCCGGTGTGCGCCAGCTCACACTGCCCGTTCAGCATTGCAGTCATTGGAAGCCCGCCCCTCAGGGGGGCGGGCTTGTGAAAATGGCAAGTACGATCTGCCTGTCCAAGATGGGCAGACCGTATGAGCTTTTAATTAGCTTATAACCATCGCAAGACAAAAGTCTTGCGATGGTTGTAAGGTGTCGGGGCACCTTTATGAAACCAAGCAGTGCGCACATAGGGAGGAGTATATTAAAGACTAACTAGTGGTTTAGTTCACCAATACTAAAAAAAAATGTATCTTATTTGTGTATCACTCAGATTTAGGCCTTGCTCACACCAAATGCAGAGCAGATCCGCTCAGGTTTCTGCACACGCAGTGCAGTGGGTTGTGCCGTGTTTTTGCTGCATTTTTGATGCGTATCGGGACGTTTTTGGGAAACATTTTTTTTATTTTTTTGTTTAAAATGGGCTTTCAGTGCGTTCCAGAGCAGGTAAAATAAAGTTTTGCTACGGTCTGTAACTGCTCTGCTCTGCATCTGCTCTGCGCTTGGTGTGAACACGGCCTCAGTGGTGTGGACACTGTCCTTCCTTCTGGAGGGTGGCTGCATTTGTTCCCCATGCTCCCTGCGTGTGTTGTAGCCACTGCTCCAAGCTAACTCCCATGATGGACTACAATCTCAATACAAATTAGTAAACTAAACATGAGATTGTAGTCCATCACAGGAGCAAGTTTGGAGGGGTTACTACTTTACAACACACACATGGACCATGGGGAACCAAAGTAGCCACTACTTCAGAGATGATTTGAGGATCTACAGCTGAGTGATACACAAATTGGATACATTTTTGTTAATAGTTAAGGTACACTAATGCATTTTTAGGGTTTAAATACTGAGTTTAGTGTCACTTTAATCATTCAGTAGAGGACACAGTCATTATAATGTTTAGACTCGGAGTTATATGCTGGTGATTGAACACTGGCAACGTGTCCAATCACAGGGCTAATTCTAGAAAAAAAAACCTCGCCTGCTGTTAGCTATTCCCTGGCCGTGGCTGCTGTAACTGACACTGCAGCGCTAGGAGGAGGCTGAGGAACCTCTCACCTAGTGCAGCAGAAGGTACGCGACCGGCAGGTTGAGAACCGCTTACTTAAAGGCTGTTTACTTTTCAGGCTTTGTTCCCCCATTACCTGAATCGTGGGGTTCTTCCCCCAACAGGTTTCTTGTCATTATTTTAATTATGACAGGATTTGTGAATGGCAAAAATGCAAGGCCTGCCTCAGAGGGGCTTCCAGCTCCTAATGGACTTGAAGTCCAGTGATATTTCTTCCCCCCCCTTAGCTGAAAGTCGATACCTTGGTAGTGGGAAGAGCCTGTTAAAGCCAGAGCACTGAATCCATGATCCACTGACCCTTTCCAGGATCCAATGCATAAAATAAATAAATGCACTTCTTTTATTTTATTAATGTGTGTGCATTACGTTGGGGTTTTTTTTTTATGTGGACTATACCTTTAAGTGCTCAGGCGCGCGTCTACTCTGCTTTATCACAATGACCACAGTTACCTACTCCAAAATGGCGGATGCGGTGCAGAGCGTGATGACGTCACTGGTAGCCGCCTGGTCACGGTCCAGGAAGAGGAGACTCGGGATCCAGGGCTGGATACGGCTGCAGTAATGACACCGGCCCGTAGAATGTGGTCCCTTATAAGGCAACGTGCGCGGATTGGAGCGCTGCGGGAGATGTGCAGGCAGTACCCGCTGCTGTGCTTCGTTCTGCTTACCCTGTCCTTATCCACCATCCTACTGCTCAGGTAACGAGCTCCTTCCTTGTCTCACTTCACTTTTGACATCAGATCAGACTTGGGTTACATTGTACCGCTGCTGGCCTGTTTGATGTTTTGGAGTGAAGTGACGCTTGTGTTGGCTATCGGTGGATCGTACTAATTTACTGCAGAATTATGCTGGAAGCATAGCAGCTTTAGGCACGTGTGCTGGCAAACTACTTGTTAAAGTAATATTAATCAAAGTGGTTATTCTTGTTCTTTATTGTGTATGGCAGGAGCAGGCAACCTTAGCACTTTAGCTGTGCTGAAACTACAAATCCCATAATTAATCTGTCTCTGGGAGTCGTGGCTGTCGGGAGTCCTGCAATGCCTCATCGGATTTGTAGTTCCACAGAAGCTGCAGTGGCCAGGTTTTCTATAGCTGGCATAAAATGGATGATTAGCTTCTATGGCGGCAAGACAGCCACCCTGTGCAAATCATGGCTGGTGCTGCTGCCTGCATGTAGGCGCTCATATGATTAGGAGCCTTGCCAGCCCTAGACACACACTTTGCTCCCAGGGTCGGCATTCTCTGACCACAGCCAATCATCCAGTGTTTATACAGCTAAAAACAAGTAGCAGTAATTTGGTATCAGTGACTACTTGAGGAAAAGTATCTGCACTCAGTCTTGGAAAAAAATGGTTTAGGTTCATCCCTAGTGTAAAGAAAAGCAAATAAAGGTTCACACTGGGGCCAACATCCTAAGATCCCAAAAGACATCACAACACATGTATATATTTTTCGTACATCTATAAAAGATGGGGCGGGGGGGAAATATATTATACACACACACATGTGTTGTGATGTCCTTTGGGATCTTAAGCTGTTGCCACCGGTAGGAACCTTTTATGTGCTTTTCATTATGATGATTGAGGACATCGTGGACCCCGGAGACAATACACAGAAAGTTAAGGAATGTTTGATCACTTATAGCTTTTGGTCTCTAGGTTTCTTATTCTATTCTTCGGTGTAACCCCACAGACAGTCTGAGCTTACATACCCACAGCATACCAAATCATGGTTCTTGTAAGATAGTCACTGATGTCATTTTCATAGATATATCCCTCCTCTGGAACACACCAGTTTGTAAACATATAATTCTACTACTGATATAATATTGCAACTCCCCCAAATCACCAGGAAAAAGACCCTGAATCCAATATGGAAAATCAATTCACCACATATGCTTCTCAGAGAGATTGATTAAGTTGATTGAAAAAGCACACTTTCCTGATTGTGTCCTTCCATGTAACAACATTTCTCAATGGACGTGAGTTTTCCACTAACAGCGCGTCCAGCTTTGTTACTTAAGCATTTCAATTATTCGCTTTGCGTTTCCTTATCATATTTTCAACCAGAAGATCTTTCAAATACAGCTTCCATCTGGTATAGCCAACAGCCATCTACTTGTGCTTTTTTGGAAACTGACATGTGGTGCTGCCCTGTCTATATAAAAAATTCACAGTTATAAGGCAAATTCACAGCAAACAGCTTGCCCAACCTAACACCGCTGTATTTTACCTCGGTCCAATTACGCCAACGTGAGCATACCTCGTTGCTCCAGTTGGAGTATTGAGTTGGTTAATATCCACTCAGAGTCCATGTGCAACTTGAGTATCAATACTGGTATTACTCATTAATCCATTGGATAGGGCGCATCATATATCTCAGTTCAGTTGGTGGGATCCAGCGTATGGGAACAGGTTTTTTTTTATTTAATCCATCCATATTTTTCACTTTAAAATCTCATGTTGTGCTGTGCAATATCTATTTCGTACGGCAGTTCATACACAGATGGACCACTCGGGGACCTTTGTCTACGCGTTTCACCCAATAGGTCAGCAGGGTTAGTCAGGGCTCCAGCAACGGGCACCATTTTTGCAGACTGCAAGTTGAAAGCTGCCTTTTAGAAAAGTCGTCCACTATTTTAACCGCCTTAGTTGCACAAGTGTACTTCTGTGTTTATGCGAGTTGAAAGATGACAGCAGAATTCTGATAAAGATGCTGTGTTCAGTTCCCCAGGTTGATTTCTTTTCTTCATTTTTGTCATTTCCCTACCAAAACTAGCATTGTAACTAATTTTATTTTCTGGCGCTGGTTCAAATACTGTACATGCAGCATTAACTTGCACTGGCCACAAGTCAGTCAATACACGTTATAAGTGCTTTGGATAAAAATGGCAAGGCATGATGAACCAACCCCCAGGGTTTTTTTTTTTTTTTAGTGAACAAGCCTTTCTTATATTTTAAGTCATTTTTATGTTGTAACAAAATATTGGATTGTGTGCTTTTAGTAATTTCATAAGTTACTTCCATGTAATCACTGTTTTTCATTTTTGTTTTTCTAGATATCTTCATATTCTTATGATCTTCTGGTCTTTCCTTGCTGGAGTTGTTACATTATACTGTTCACTGGAACCACATTCTCTGCTACCTAATATTCTATTTAATATCAAATACAAACCAAAGGTATGTAATAAGGACAAGAGAGCTATTCTGATCTGGTACAAAAATAAAAATCACTTATTCTATTAAGAAGTATTTTTGTCTGAATCAATCAATCAATCAATCAATCTATCTGTAATACAATGCTTACTAAGCAAAAGTAAGTTACTGGTGCATAGAGTAACCAGTGACGCCATATTCTTTGGGAGCCTGGGTCACTTCGATTTAAAAAAACAAACAAACAAAAACACACATTGAAGACTCATTTGGAACACAGCCTAATTATTGAGTATCTGACATTAAATGTGTACTGGCCCGCTTACTAAATATGTATAGTTGCATGAACCATACTTTCTGAATGGACCTGAATCTAAACTTGTGAAGATTTAGGGCCGTGTATTCTTTGGTTCCTACATGCGTCCCTCTGTATTATGATAGAGGTTGACTGCACAGTGTGATGTGACTGCAGTACCATCCAGAAGCTTGCTGAATCATGCTAGAAGGCATTCTATAAAACGAAGCAGGGTTCCCAGATTGTTCTGGATAGTACTAATAGTGATTATTTGTTGCTTGGAGTTGCTTTTGCAAACAAACTATAATTTACTGATTGTACTTAAAGTGTATGTATGGATAGCCAAAATGTTTTTTTTTTTTTTTTGCATAGAGTAAGGAAGGGATAAATCCTATTTATTATTAATTATTTTTTTGCATACCATTGAGGATTTTTCACTTCACATCTTGTTCTAGAGATGCAACAGGAAGTTAGTGCAAATCTTCCAAAGCCTGGGGAATTCCCCCCTTAGACAATTTTGCCTGAAATTGTGCTGCTTCCACTTACCTCTTGTTCTGAGTACAACTCTAAAATCTTTTCCTTGTTTGATTATGATTACTCGGGCTGTGAGTCTCTTTCTCAGCACTGATTCTCCTTTTTTGGACTCTTAGGGTGATTCTGATTCCACCATTCTAGGTGGTTCTGGTAACCAGCTTCCCAGCTTAAGGATTGGTTTCCTTCCTTCCTTTTCAAGATGTACTTCACTTGTCTTGTGAGTGTTTCTTGATTTTTCCAGCATCAAGCAAATGCATGCTTCCACCTGGTCTTCGGTTTTTAGATTCCTTCTACCTGGTGGAGGTTGCCCCCCTTCTCTGATTCCAGTTTTGGGCATAATGTCCAGCGGCTTTTGAAATGCAAGATAGCACCTAGGTTTTGTTTTTTTTCTGTTGTTCATGTCGGGCCTGTTAGTAATTGTTTTGCTGTAGTGCCCACCCTTCAGTTAAACGAATTTTAAGTTTGTTCCAAAGGTGAAAAAACTTCCTGCGTCCCTCAATGGACAAGAAAGAAAATAAGATTTATGTTCTTACTGTAAAATCCTTTTTTTGGAGTCCATTAAGGGGGACAGGTCCCATCCCTCTGTTTTTGGTCATGCTTTTAATACTGGTTTGCTACAAAACTGAGGCATGCTAGTATCCAATCTTCCTGTAGGAGGCAGAATAACTGAAGGTGAAAAGACTTCACGTGTCCCTTTTTTAATACAGTCTAAGAAAAGGATTTTACTGTACCCAAATCCTATTTTGCTGCAGTTCATTTTGTAGAGGCCAGGGGGCAACGAACAGCATCAAAGCAGTGTATTCTTTAGCTTACAGTGCATTTAACAGCTTTTTACAGAGCATTATCCAGGGCTGTACTCTCTACCCTGGCTTCACTACTTTTTGAACAGGTATGCATATGTATGTTCCAGGTCAATGACAACCCAAGTAGTGCAGCCTAGATGAGAATGATAACCCTGGATTGTTTACTCTCAAATACATGACAAAAAGTATAGTATGTGGACAGAAATGCGCATCGATGTATGTTATTCTATTGAGGGGTGCAAGCAGTAAATCAATGATGCAGTGGTCCCCAGCAGGTCTTTTATAGGGGTTGTCTTGCCTTAAATTTAAAACTGGTCCTCTGCTTAGTCCACCACTGAAAAGTAAACAAATGAGCCTTATTGATTACATACTTAAAGGAGAACTATGGGGTTCTATCTTTTCTTTATTATTGCATTCCGTAGGCTAAATAAGTAAATTGTGTAATTTACTCCTATTAGCCAAAATGCACCCTAAGCCTCTTAAACCCTTCTTTAAGATGGTGGATGGTGCTGCAGGGATCCTTCCCACTGATCTTCATCACTGTGACTGACGGTGATTCTTGAGAGCTGCTGCGCATGCACGAACATATGGACATGCACAACAGACTGGCAAGCATCCGATCAGCAGGGATCTCCAGTGACATCATTCACCATATATGGACTTGCCCATTTGTAGTAAATGATGAAGAGAGAGGGCTTCTCTCTCTCTCTCTCTCTCTCTCTCTCCCTCTCCCTCTCTAAGCCGACCTGTGACAATGAGACTGTCACAGGTCGGCTCAGTAGATCGGGAGGTGAGAGAACACATACCGGGTTCCCTCACCTCTCGATCCTGTCACGGCTCTCTGCCGTGACAGGGAGATTCCCCTCTCCCCGTTCCCCCCGCTCGAGAGGTGAGGGAACCCGGTATGGTCGGCTTAGAACTATGAGGTGAGTGGAAATCACATGTCATAGTTCTCCTTTAACACTCTCCATTCATTAAAGGAGAACTATGGGGTTCTATCTTTTCTTTATTAATGCATTCCTTAGGCTAAATAAGTAAATTCTGTAAACTACTCCTATTAGCCAAAATGCACCCTAAGCCTGTAAACCCTTCTTTAAGATGGTGGGAGGGGCTAAGCGCCGCAATGAGGAGAAAGCCCGACAATGCTGGCGGTATCCTCACCACTGATCTTCGTCACTGTGACTGACAGTGATTCTTGAGAGCTGCTGCGCATCCACGAATATATGGACATGCGCAGCAGCTCTGTGCACACAGCTCTCTCCTTAACTGCACGTCCCCATCCTCTGTGCCAGCCTTCCAGCCCTTGATCCCCTCCCTCCTCCTCTCCATCTGCCCCGCCTACTTCTCGTGTAGTGTGCAGTGCATTGATCCCCTCCCCCCCCATTGACATCATTCACCATATATGGACTTGCCCATTTGTAGTAAATGCTGAAGAGAGAGCCCTCTTTCATCAGCGATCCCCAGTGATTTTAGCATGTCAGTGTCACACAGGGAGGGAGAGAGAGAGAGCCCATAGTTCTCCTTTAATATGTAGAGCCAACTAATATTTGCCTGCCTCTGCTTCAAGTCTGGAAAAAGTCAACATTAACAAAATGCATTATTGTTTCTTTAGCAACCTGAACTTCAAGAACTTTTCCCACAAGGGCATAGTTGTGCTGTGTGTGGCAAGGTTAAATGTCAAAGACATAGGTAAGTTCAAAAAATGAAATGACTAAATAGTTTTTGCTTTTACTTACAATAACTACTACATAATCGTAACACTTTCTACTGCTTTCAGGCCTACTTTGCAATTAGAAAACTATCAGCCATGGCTTGATTTAACGGTTCCCTCAAAGGTTGATGCATCTCTGTCAGAGGTAACATTTTATAATCTTGACTTTAGACTGTAATAATAAAAGCTGGGTGGGATTTATACAGACTGAACTGAGGCTTAACTATGGCAAACCTTTTTTATGTTCAGGTATTTGAACTGGTGCTGGAAAACTTTGTTTATCCATGGTATCGGTAAGTAATGTGTGCGTTAATCTATTGATGATTAAAAGAAGACACATAGGGCCTTGTCGATATACGTGATTTTATCAGGATTAAATAGACACATATTCAATCTATTTCCTTTTAAATTAATGTGTTTTATATTTTTTTGTCCCACCAAAGTAAAATAATACATTTGAAGTTTAAGTGTGATGAATCAGTATGTTTGTGTATTCTTTCCCAGTATTTTAAAGTGTCAGTTTAGGGTTGGCCATAGAAAAAAATGCTTTCCTGAGAACTGAGCCTAGAAAGCCATATGCCTGTCCATGGGTCAAAAGCATGCTCTATTGATATGGTGAAATGATCAGCAGGCAGTTCTGTTTAACAGATTTTTTGTTAGAGAGGTGATACTTCAGTGTTGCTTCACAACTGATTTTTCTTTTTTTTTTATTTCTGTTTTGTTTGTGGCAGTGATATTACTGAAGATGAGTCTTTTGTTGATGAGCTGAGGCTGGCCCTGAGATTCTTTGCATCTGTTCTTGTGCGAAGAATACAGAAGGTAATTTTTGTGCATGAAAGAAACATACCCAATAATAATGTTTTTCTTATTAGCTTGTCTACTGTTTTCTTCGGTTTCTGATTTTTAATATTTCAAAATCTTGCCATAGCTTCCACATTAGCACTTGAGTGTCCACTTAAAGGAGAACTATTGAGAGAGTAAAATGTACTCTTCCCAATAGTCTGAGCCAGCGTGTGACACTGCAAACATCACATGCTGGGTCTATAGCTTGAGAACTAAGCAATCACAAACAGCTGATCGCTCCGCTCATGGCTTCCCCCTGCAGAGAGCGGTGACTGTCAATCACCACTCCCTGCAGGGATTCCCCCCTTCCCTCTCTGTTCCTCCAGTTCTCATTGGAGGGGCAGACAGGGAAGGGGGCAGGCACAGCTGGCTCTGGCTCTAGAGCCAGCTTAATCAGGCAGCAGGGTGGATCCCAAAATTATTGTCCGAATCTTTCCTGGCTGCAGTGCGGCTCTGCGTTGTCAGCATTTAGTGGGCAGTAGCTATATGCTGACTTTGTGGCACTGGAGTACATTGGTAAATGCACTCCTGTGACCAGAAAGAGAGCTATAGCCAAAAAAAAAAGTTTGGTCATAGTTGTCTTTTAAATACATTTGAGGGAACAGAGCAGTTTGTATGTTGCCTGAGCCTCCCTTAAAGGCGAACTTGGGGGACTACTTAGAAACCAGAAATTGTTGAGACAAGGAGCACTTAAAGTGATATTAAAGGCAAAAAATGTTTTCCCTCCCCCCCATGTAAATGTTAGCACTTACCTTAAATGATGTCTCTTATTCTGGTCTTCCTCTTCTGTCCCCATGTTTTCATGTGTCCCTCCAGCGGTGCAACGTCACTCCGATCCAGCGCTGACTGCTCTGTCCCTCCAATCCAGCGGTGTCTGCATGCGGGTGCACGCGTCCATAGACTTACCGTATTTTTCCGTCTATAAGACGCCCCCATGTATAAGACGCCCCCAACTTTTCTTACTCAAAATTCAGAAATCAATATTTTAAATGATATTATGCATCACACTTCTGAGCCAATCACTTTATTCAGCCTCTGTTGCATCACTGGTTTCTTCATCACTTTTAGCTTCAAACATATCAGTTTCTTCAACTTCTGCTGCATCACTGCTGTCTGCTGAGTCACTGTCTATATATACAAGATCATCCTCAGTTCCGTCCATGGCATTGCTGATTCCACATTTCTTGAAGGACTTCACAATCGCCTCTTGTTTGACACCATACCATGAGTTTAGAGAGTTTACAGGTTGTTTTTCACTTTCTGACATTTTTATGGTCACAGAATGCTCCGACATTACCGCTCTGGGCACTGCCTACACGATCTCCCCAGCAACAGCTATGAGAATGATAACCCTGGATTGTTTACTCTCAAATACATGACAAAAAGTATAGTATGTGGACAGAAATGCGCATCGATGTATGTTATTCTATTGAGGGGTGCAAGCAGTAAATCAATGATGCAGTGGTCCCCAGCAGGTCTTTTATAGGGGTTGTCTTGCCTTAAATTTAAAACTGGTCCTCTGCTTAGTCCACCACTGAAAAGTAAACAAATGAGCCTTATTGATTACATACTTAAAGGAGAACTATGGGGTTCTATCTTTTCTTTATTATTGCATTCCGTAGGCTAAATAAGTAAATTGTGTAATTTACTCCTATTAGCCAAAATGCACCCTAAGCCTCTTAAACCCTTCTTTAAGATGGTGGATGGTGCTGCAGGGATCCTTCCCACTGATCTTCATCACTGTGACTGACGGTGATTCTTGAGAGCTGCTGCGCATGCACGAACATATGGACATGCACAACAGACTGGCAAGCATCCGATCAGCAGGGATCTCCAGTGACATCATTCACCATATATGGACTTGCCCATTTGTAGTAAATGATGAAGAGAGAGGGCTTCTCTCTCTCTCTCTCTCTCTCTCTCTCCCTCTCCCTCTCTAAGCCGACCTGTGACAATGAGACTGTCACAGGTCGGCTCAGTAGATCGGGAGGTGAGAGAACACATACCGGGTTCCCTCACCTCTCGATCCTGTCACGGCTCTCTGCCCTGACGGGGAGGGGCTGGATTCCCCTCTCCCCGTTCCCCCCGCTCGAGAGGTGAGGGAACCCGGTATGGTCGGCTTAGAACTATGAGGTGAGTGGAAATCACATGTCATAGTTCTCCTTTAACACTCTCCATTCATTAAAGGAGAACTATGGGGTTCTATCTTTTCTTTATTAATGCATTCCTTAGGCTAAATAAGTAAATTCTGTAAACTACTCCTATTAGCCAAAATGCACCCTAAGCCTGTAAACCCTTCTTTAAGATGGTGGGAGGGGCTAAGCGCCGCAATGAGGAGAGATCCCGACAATGCTGGCGGTATCCTCACCACTGATCTTCGTCACTGTGACTGACAGTGATTCTTGAGAGCTGCTGCGCATCCACGAATATATGGACATGCGCAGCAGCTCTGTGCACACAGCTCTCTCCTTAACTGCACGTCCCCATCCTCTGTGCCAGCCTTCCAGCCCTTGATCCCCTCCCTCCTCCTCTCCATCTGCCCCGCCTACTTCTCGTGTAGTGTGCAGTGCATTGATCCCCTCCCCCCCCATTGACATCATTCACCATATATGGACTTGCCCATTTGTAGTAAATGCTGAAGAGAGAGCCCTCTTTCATCAGCGATCCCCAGTGATTTTAGCATGTCAGTGTCACACAGGGAGGGAGAGAGAGAGAGCCCATAGTTCTCCTTTAATATGTAGAGCCAACTAATATTTGCCTGCCTCTGCTTCAAGTCTGGAAAAAGTCAACATTAACAAAATGCATTATTGTTTCTTTAGCAACCTGAACTTCAAGAACTTTTCCCACAAGGGCATAGTTGTGCTGTGTGTGGCAAGGTTAAATGTCAAAGACATAGGTAAGTTCAAAAAATGAAATGACTAAATAGTTTTTGCTTTTACTTACAATAACTACTACATAATCGTAACACTTTCTACTGCTTTCAGGCCTACTTTGCAATTAGAAAACTATCAGCCATGGCTTGATTTAACGGTTCCCTCAAAGGTTGATGCATCTCTGTCAGAGGTAACATTTTATAATCTTGACTTTAGACTGTAATAATAAAAGCTGGGTGGGATTTATACAGACTGAACTGAGGCTTAACTATGGCAAACCTTTTTTATGTTCAGGTATTTGAACTGGTGCTGGAAAACTTTGTTTATCCATGGTATCGGTAAGTAATGTGTGCGTTAATCTATTGATGATTAAAAGAAGACACATAGGGCCTTGTCGATATACGTGATTTTATCAGGATTAAATAGACACATATTCAATCTATTTCCTTTTAAATTAATGTGTTTTATATTTTTTTGTCCCACCAAAGTAAAATAATACATTTGAAGTTTAAGTGTGATGAATCAGTATGTTTGTGTATTCTTTCCCAGTATTTTAAAGTGTCAGTTTAGGGTTGGCCATAGAAAAAAATGCTTTCCTGAGAACTGAGCCTAGAAAGCCATATGCCTGTCCATGGGTCAAAAGCATGCTCTATTGATATGGTGAAATGATCAGCAGGCAGTTCTGTTTAACAGATTTTTTGTTAGAGAGGTGATACTTCAGTGTTGCTTCACAACTGATTTTTCTTTTTTTTTTATTTCTGTTTTGTTTGTGGCAGTGATATTACTGAAGATGAGTCTTTTGTTGATGAGCTGAGGCTGGCCCTGAGATTCTTTGCATCTGTTCTTGTGCGAAGAATACAGAAGGTAATTTTTGTGCATGAAAGAAACATACCCAATAATAATGTTTTTCTTATTAGCTTGTCTACTGTTTTCTTCGGTTTCTGATTTTTAATATTTCAAAATCTTGCCATAGCTTCCACATTAGCACTTGAGTGTCCACTTAAAGGAGAACTATTGAGAGAGTAAAATGTACTCTTCCCAATAGTCTGAGCCAGCGTGTGACACTGCAAACATCACATGCTGGGTCTATAGCTTGAGAACTAAGCAATCACAAACAGCTGATCGCTCCGCTCATGGCTTCCCCCTGCAGAGAGCGGTGACTGTCAATCACCACTCCCTGCAGGGATTCCCCCCTTCCCTCTCTGTTCCTCCAGTTCTCATTGGAGGGGCAGACAGGGAAGGGGGCAGGCACAGCTGGCTCTGGCTCTAGAGCCAGCTTAATCAGGCAGCAGGGTGGATCCCAAAATTATTGTCCGAATCTTTCCTGGCTGCAGTGCGGCTCTGCGTTGTCAGCATTTAGTGGGCAGTAGCTATATGCTGACTTTGTGGCACTGGAGTACATTGGTAAATGCACTCCTGTGACCAGAAAGAGAGCTATAGCCAAAAAAAAAAGTTTGGTCATAGTTGTCTTTTAAATACATTTGAGGGAACAGAGCAGTTTGTATGTTGCCTGAGCCTCCCTTAAAGGCGAACTTGGGGGACTACTTAGAAACCAGAAATTGTTGAGACAAGGAGCACTTAAAGTGATATTAAAGGCAAAAAATGTTTTCCCTCCCCCCCATGTAAATGTTAGCACTTACCTTAAATGATGTCTCTTATTCTGGTCTTCCTCTTCTGTCCCCATGTTTTCATGTGTCCCTCCAGCGGTGCAACGTCACTCCGATCCAGCGCTGACTGCTCTGTCCCTCCAATCCAGCGGTGTCTGCATGCGGGTGCACGCGTCCATAGACTTACCGTATTTTTCCGTCTATAAGACGCCCCCATGTATAAGACGCCCCCAACTTTTCTTACTCAAAATTCAGAAATCAATATTTTAAATGATATTATGCATCACACTTCTGAGCCAATCACTTTATTCAGCCTCTGTTGCATCACTGGTTTCTTCATCACTTTTAGCTTCAAACATATCAGTTTCTTCAACTTCTGCTGCATCACTGCTGTCTGCTGAGTCACTGTCTATATATACAAGATCATCCTCAGTTCCGTCCATGGCATTGCTGATTCCACATTTCTTGAAGGACTTCACAATCGCCTCTTGTTTGACACCATACCATGAGTTTAGAGAGTTTACAGGTTGTTTTTCACTTTCTGACATTTTTATGGTCACAGAATGCTCCGACATTACCGCTCTGGGCACTGCCTACACGATCTCCCCAGCAACAGCTGATGTCAGGTTCAAAAGATTTATGACTGGGGGAGAACTGTTATCTTGTCTCTGTAATCCGTGAGGCTAGTTTGCAGTGGTATCAGCACTTTCAAAACCGCGGCACCCGTGTATAAGACGCACCTCTATTTTTAGATAAAGATTTTTATGAAAAAGTAGCGTCTTATACACGGAAAAATACGGTACCTTGCGTCTCTGCTCGTCTCCCGGCCGAGAGAACTGCGCATGCGCCCGCCCCAAGATCCTTTGCGGCCGTATAAGCAATTCCTGATTCTCGGCGCGGGAACGAGCAGCGATAACGAGGTAAGTTTAAAATGATTTTAAGCGGGTTTTTTTTTTACACTTCTTGCCTATATCTACTGCATGCTAGCAGTAGATATAAGCAAAAAAAACCCGGAGGGTTTAGAACCCCTTTTAAGTCAAAAAGACCCGACTGCTTTTTTGGGGTCTACTACAGTATTTTAGTTTCCTCCCAATGCGATATCCAGTTTAGAATTCTTTCTCTTATTTCACAATAAGAATTGAGACTTGCTGCTGTGAATACACTGTTCAGTTTTTAAGTTTAAAGGAGAAATATGAGGTGAGTGAAAATCACTCAACCTCATAGTTCGAGCCGACGTGTGACAATGACTCTGTCGGGATAGATCGGGAAGTGAGCGAACGCATACCATCGCTCGCTCACTTCTCGATCATCTCCCTGCAGAGAGTGGTGACTGTCAGTCACTGTTCCCCGCAGGGATTCCCCCCTCCCCGCTCCGATCCTCCAGCGCTGACTGGAGAAACGGACACGGGAGGGGGCGGGTACAGCTGGCTATGCATCTAGATAGGCAGAGCCAGCTGTCATTCACGCAGCTGGGTGGATCTCAACAGCATTGTCGGGTTCCGTCCCGGTTGCGGTGGTCTCAGTATACAGCGAGCTGTAGATCGGGTTATACTGAGCTTTGGGTCACGGGAGGACGCTAGTATATGTCCTCCCGTGACCCTTAAGAGAACTATGGGGAAAAACACTTACCCCATAGTTCTCTTTTAACAATTATTTATTTTGAATCAGGCTTGATTATGTGTCCATCTGAGTTGATTAAAAAAACGCTGTAGCAGTTTTAGGACTTCATTGGTGATGTATAAATGCCACCTCTCCTAAGCTGCCCCTGTCACTGTAATGTAACATTCTGCTTCAGATCAATGCTGTCATTAAAGACTGCCACTGGTATGAGCGATTTGCACGTTGACCGGTTCTCTTTCAGCATCCATCCAAGACTGTTTAGTTGTTATTTTAGATGTGTATGCAATTCTGTACATAAAATATGTACCTGATTATTTCTAGGTGGATATTCCATCTATAATTACAGTAAAATTGCTGAAAGCTGCTATGAAGCACATTGAAATAATTAAAAAAGCAAAACAAAAAGGTAAGTTTGAGCAATCAGTCTAATATTAAAGGTGTGTATATGTTATATTATGATAGAACCATAATGCTTGTGTTTGCTTCCTGTTTAGTGAAAAACTTTGAGTCACTGCAGCAGGCAGCTTTGGAAGAATATGGGCCTGACCTTCATGTTGCATTAAGAAGCCGCAGAGATGAGCTTAGCTACCTCAGAAGTCTCACTGAGCTGCTTTTTCCTTTTATTCTACCTCCTAAAGCAACAGATAGCAGGCAAGTTCTACTGTTTCCCACTGTATAAGATATACATGACCTATACCTTTCACTCGTATTTATTGGTTATGGCTGCTGCAAGTAAAAAGTAATATTTTTCTTTCATAGCTGACAGGGTAGATATTCCTGTTCTGACACTACAAATAATGCAGTTGATATATTTAGAGGCAAATCTAAATAATTTGACATAATTGTGTGATAATTGACTGTGGCTTTGTATGCAAACACGAGTGATGGGTTATACCAGAGAATTTTCTTCTTAATTGTTTGGAGCATTTAATAAATTATGGATTAAAAGTAGCTATGGCTCATGGAGCTATGCCAAAAAGGAAGTGCCCACCCATCTGCTAAGGATTGGTGTCTGATACAAAGCCATCTTATTAGTTAAAGTACAACTAAAGCCTCATGCATACAGTCTAAACATGTAACATCTACCTTCCCTGTCTGAGCCAAATGCTCCTTCATTTATCTATTTCCTAGGCTGCCCATGTCACTGTTATGTAATAAGACCGTGCCAATCGCAGTAGCTTAGATAGTGCCTGCATCATTTCCTGGCTGGAGAACTTCCAGCACCATCTAACCTTTTTCTACCCCTCCTGACTATGCCTGCCTCCGCTTTTTCATTCATTAGATTGAAGTTCTCTAAGTCGAGGAGGCTCAGGATCACATGTGGGTGTTGGCTAGGGCAGTCTGCCTTGAAACGCCCACTTCTCCAGACTGACGCCCGCCCATGAAGACATTTTGATATTGACATATCTCTTTCCAGGAGCCAGCTCACTGCTTGCATCAGGACCGAGGGCTCTTGAGAGGAGTACAGGACTCTGCCTGCTCCTCCCACCAACCACGTTCTGCTTGCATTGCGAAAAGAAACACAGAGACAGGTTTTATTTAACGCATCCCTGCTAAGCTTAGAACATATATGCAGCGCCACAGATGTTTGCTTTCCATGGCTCTGCATATAGATATGTCAAAAATGCCCTGTTTTTTTCCGCCCTCACCCTGCAGCGCCCTCAGGCGGCCGCCTGACTTGCCTTGCGGTAGCGCCGGGCCTGAGCACGCTCACTTGGCACTCCCAGCACAGTCACCAAGTCTCCAACATCTCACTGTTTCTGATCCAGAGTCAGGAACATGCGCCCGATCATGTGGTTATTTTGAGAGTCAATAACCGTGATCACATGATTTGAGCTGGAGACAGGCTTCCGACAAGGGGTTAAAAATTTAATTACCTGACTCATGTTACATAATTTCACTTTGCAAACTTTTGGTTTTAAATGTGCTGACCACCACATAATTGTCATCATGTCTCTATCTGTTTACATCTACCCTCTTACATTATCCTGGGGAAATGTCCTTCCTTTAGTATGTATCGGCACAGTAAGACCTTGTCCTCCCCCACAGCTTTCCTATCGGATCCTGTTTACTCCTTTTTGTTTACTCCTTTTTGTGTACATCAGTTTAATATTTGATGCATTGCATTTCTGCTTCAATTACGAGACGGTTGTACTCCTATTGATGTTCTTGAAATTGCTGTGCTGTCTGCTCCTTACATTTTTCTTCTTGCCATTATCCATATCTACAATTGGAGATTTGTATTCCTTGTTTTAATTTTTGTTGTTGTTGCGAAAATCTTAATAAAACTAATTGTTGGGGGAAAAAAAATAAAAATTAAATGATCATTATGATAGAGTGAGGAACCAAGGAAGGAAAAATAAAAGCAGATTCAGCTTTAAACTTTACAACAACTCAACATTTGTACCCTATAGCTTTCCTTTAAGAGTACATCATTGACAGTAAACTGAATTGGTATTTTTTTATTTGACATTGTAGTAGTATAACTTTAGTGTGATGGATGACATCTTTGTATTACAAGCGTGAAATTGTACTCCTAAAACCTTCTACTCATAGCATATATGCATTGTTTTTCAGACCTCTTACGTTACTGGTGAGAGAGATTCTCTCTGGATCTGTGTTCCTGCCCTCAATGGATTTCCTTGCCGATCCAGTAGGTTTTGGGGATTGGGATAATCTTCATGGGCATACCGATAGCTTTGAAACTTAAATGGACCTGTACTCAAACATCACCTTTTAAAATTATGTGAACAGTCCTGCTACGATTTGAGAAATAAAAAGTAACAGAACGGTTGGAATACCATTCTTGGAAGATGTTGCCTCATGCTGGTCACATGACCAGAAGCCTAGGCTTTGAGCTAAATATCTTGTAAGGGAGGACCAGCAAAAATGAACTCCGGTCCTCCCATTTCAACATGCGTTACATGTCAATATGCATATGTTATACTCAGGCTTTTGATTTATATAAGCAGCGTTGAAGGGTTTTCAAAGCAGCATTCTCTAAAGAAAATTATTTTTGCCCTTATATTGATCATCCATCATTATATTTCCATCACATAAGCCGGTGTTAACTTTTTTAATTCAAAGTTTAGTTTAATCACTATTTGTCAAGCAGCAAAAATACTCCATGTTGAACCCTACAGCTAGGAATGAAGGTATGGGTTGCAATTTGTTATATTTACAGGTATTATTTTGGCTTAAAGGAGAACTATGCGGTCAGTGTTTTTCCCCATAGTTCTCCTTAGGGTAACGGGAGGACACAAACTAGCGTCCTCCCGTTACCCTAAGCTCAGTATACCGCGAGCTACAGCTCGCAGTATACTGAGACGCCGCAGCCGGAGCGGATCCCGACATGGACGTCGAGATCCGCCCAGCTGCGTGAGTGACGGCTGGCTCTGCCTATCTAGAGGCAGAGCCAGCTGTCCCCGCCCCCTCCCCCGTCCGTTCCACCAGTCAGCACTGGCAGATCAGAGCGGGGAATCCAGCCCCTCCCCTGTCACGGCAGAGAGCCGTGACAGGATCGAGAGGTGAGCGAACACGGTATGTGTTCGCTCACCTCCCGATCTACTGAGCCGACCTGTGACAGTCTCATTGTCACAGGTCGGCTAGAACTATGAGGTGAGTGGAAATCACTCATCTCATAGTTCTCCTTTTTAATATGAACTATGAAGTAAAAACTCCTACACATATTTAGGGCATTGTTTAATTTTTCAAGATTGTGCTGTCTTTTCTAAGCCAAGCTTCAAATGGAAAGTTTCAAACCGCTAAAAGTGGAGCTGGGCACATTTGTCCCCGGGGAGGTCAGTTATACTGTATTTATGATTACTATGTTCCATTACTCATGGACATTTTTCTGGCTGCATGACAGACATGCATGGGATGATTTAATAAGGCAGTAGACCATAGCAAAATATTTAATCTTTCATCAGTCTAATCAGCAATGGTGAAGGATTGTTTACAATGTGTAAGTTCACTTGCAAATTGCTCTTATCCTTATTAAAGTATAACTATACATTCATTAAATATTATACACTGGAATTTGTCCATACAGCTTATGAAAAAATGGCAGCATGATGGGTTACTTTTATTAAAGATAAATGTATCTAGTCACCACTAGAGGGTGCCATTTACAAACATAAGTCCTGCTCTGCAATGAGAAGCCCATCTCTCAGGAGCAGATTTCTCCGAGCTTAGCTGGATGTAGTCAGAGCCAAGAGACTGCAGACATTGCTGGAAACATGACTTCTATTCAATTAGGATAACACATCATATTGGCATTTTTCGGAGGCCATTTTTTTTTGGTATAGTTATAGAAAGTATAGTTCTACTTTAAATTACATATAATTTCTCTAAAGTTTGTGCTGGAAGTTCAGCATGTGGTAAACAGAAGATAGTCCCATAGATGCCATGTGTAATATGGGAAGAGCAGTTTACTCAGGGTTGCCATTCACTGTGCGAATTTCGGCACCCTTTTGGCCGGCATCCCTTGATCAGCTGAATGAAGGAGCCGGCCGGAAAATCTTTGTGCGACCAGAACCGGCAGCCAATGAGCTGCCGGCTCTGTTCGGGTATTCTGACAGCGGGCACGGTCAGTGCTAACAGCGGGGATTCCTCGAGCGAGTAGTGTTGATGGTGGAATCTGCTCCAATTTTTTTTCATTCAGCCCACAGGTTGAATGAGAGAAATAGAGCTGTGTGCTTATCTCATAACTTAAAGCAGAGCTAAACCCAATGATTTGGCTGTTTCCCAAAGCAGTTACATTCAAGGTGATGACTGTCACTTTCCAGTCTGTTTATGGCAGCTCTGAAATGAATGCTTAATTAAGTACTCTTTTGTAATGCTCAGGTTCGCTCCTCTGCTGATTGACAGCAGACAGTGGGGGCGGGTGCAATAAGCAGCCTGCTATTGTCTATTGCAATTTTTAAAATAATAGCTGCCTGGCTGTGGCTCCCAGCCACTGGGACGACCGGAGACGCAGCAGAGGAAGGCACCAGAAGCACAGCAGGGGAATGGGGGAGGATCGGAGGCAGGGAACAGGGAAGCATCGGAGGCACAGCAGGGGGAACAGGGAAGCAGAGGAGGCACAGAGGGGGAACAGGGAAGCATCGGAGGCACAGCAGGGGGAACAGGGAAGCAGAGGAGGCACAGAGGGGGAACAGGGAAGCATCGGAGGCACAGCAGGGGGAACAGGGAAGCAGAGGAGGCACAGAGGGGGAACAGGGAAGCATCGGAGGCACAGCAGGGGGAACAGGGAAGCATCGGAGGCACAATCAACTAATTGATAATGAGAATCATTGACATTGATTCTCATTATCGATTATTATTTATTTTTATCTATGGGGGGGGGGATCCAGGCAGAATTTTCTTTTCTTTAACAAATATGGCCTTTTTTTGTAATTCAGCGCTGAGCCACAATTAGTCCCAGAAACCTACATAATAGGGGTCTGTGTCTTATTCCCTAATGTAAGACTGGTGGCTTCTGTGCTTGCTTTTCTTTTTGGCCACTGGTCATTTAACATCCCTGTAATAGTACATTCTTTACCAGCAGCAATGTAATTGCATCACCGCAGACTGTAGTGGGAGGACCTAGGCATCTCAAACTCCCGATCTGTCATGGCCACTAATGGTCACATGTGACTGGCTGGCCTGGAGACTCCTAGTCTGTCCAGCCTACCATGACATAACATCACGACGCCTAGTCTGTCACACCCATTGACTCCTATTGCCAGCTACAATTCCCATTGCGTGATGGGAGTTGTAGGTTGTTACATCAGCCCTGCACAGTGAAAGGAATTGACATTGGGCTTCATTGATACCAACTCTCAATGCTCAGGCATAGCTGCAATTTCTCTTTCAAACATGTTGCAGACTTTAGGGCACTTTTCTCAGAAGCTTGGTATTTTTATTTATTTTTTTAAATCACATTTGTAATGTGTTTTGACAGGAAGTATGGGTACAAATTAGAAGCTAGCCCAGAGTTCAGCTTGATTGAAGCTGTTGCTTCACATACACCTATGCACATGTACAAACGTCTATAAACGTTAGTCTGCCCATATCACTATAATGGTAGAAAAGGGCAGAAGGAGCGGAGGTCATCTCATTAACGTTTTTTTCTTTACCTGTATTAAAAAGTATTTTTCCTTAAAACTAGATGCAATTGGGGGACAGGCTGGTAAAGGTTCCATAAATTCTGTAATTGGGCTTTAAAGTAAAGGAGTCACGAGAGAACTATATAGGCTGCCATTGCTCTCTTTCTGAAAATGCTAATTTATACCAACTCACTGACTTTACCACTTGAAGACCGCGGTGTTAAATCCCCTTCCTGGCCAGGCCATTTTTCAGTATTCGGCGCTGTGACTGACATTTATTCAGCCATGCAACGCTGTACTGAAATACTTTGATATCTTTTTTTGGGACATATAAAGCTTTATTTTAGAGGTATTTACTTACCACTGTTTTTTTTTTACTATATAAATAAAAAAGTACCACAAATTTAGAAAAAACTGTTTTCCCTTCGTTATGTTATGAAACATTGAAAATAAATTATTCTTCATATATTTAGGCCAAAATGTATTGTTACATTTCTTTGGCCACGTTGGGTAAATACACCAAACATGTCAAGCCTTAAAATTGCGTGCACTTGTGAAATCTGGAAAACTACCATACCCAAAATTGCCCACAGGCAACACTTTTTAAAAGATTTTACTGCTCATCAATTTAGTGATAACAGTGATTGATGGCCCTAGAATTATTGCTCGCACTCAGACGTTCGTGGTTCTTTGCAACATGTGTGGCACAATCCTTTTTGTAGTTTGCATTTGTATGTGTGCGTGTACATGGCGGTGCTCTTGTGAGATATATATATATATAATACATATATAATTATTTTTTTTATATGTGTCTTTCATTTTTTTTAAACTTTTTTTTTTTTACACTTTATTGCAATCACATAGGAGGCTAACAAGCTAACAGTTACGGCTCCTCCTTATGGAGACCTCTATTAGACCCCAATGTCATCTAGGGACCCCAAGGAAGCTGGTGAAGCAGAGATCTGCTGCTTTTCCGAATACAGCAGCCCGAGAAATGACAGCTTGAAACTGGGAGTGATGTAATACTCATCACTTCTGCTTTCAGTGATTAGAGGGGAGATCAGCCACTGGTACAGAGAGACACTGTACCAGTCCCAGTCCCGCGCAGGGGACAGCAGAGCCTGGGATAAGTGGTAGGGGTGGTGCACACTCCCCGGCACCATACAAACGATCAGGTGACTCATTTATAAACGCACACCCACTGTCAGGAGTGAGCCTCCTGGCCGTTTAATTACAATGGCCAGATGGCAAGTGGTTAAAACCTTCACTGACACTAAACAAGTATGCAGGTCAGGAAAGTTTGGGAACAGTCAGGGTTATTGTACTAAAGCAAGAGACTTCAGTATGACAGCCAGGTAACTACAAACTTAAAAACAGGGGCAGTAGCTCTCTCTCTCTCTCTCTCTCTCTCTCTCTTCCCTTATCTTTTGCTTTCTTATCCTCTTTTGTCCTTTTTTTTTAAATATACTAATGAGTTGCTTTCTCTCCTGGTTTGGTCTTTGGAAAGGCCATCACATATCCCCTCTATAGGCAATGAACCCCAGCAGGTACCCTCCTAGTGGGG